CAACAACAACAGGCGCCCCAATACAGCACAATCACTAAACCGACCACTTATGTGACCACAGATACGGTGTACAACACAAAAGTGGTCAGCTTTTATGACGGCCGCTCCACCCGTTCCCGAACTATTGTGGAACCGGTCGGCACTACAGAGCGTACTCTCAGCACATATACCACAGAAGTGGTGCCTATAATGAATGCCAACAACTATGGTCTACAAGCGGCTCAATTCAACAATATGTTTGCCTCTAATATGGGTTCACCACCGCTTCAAATGACCCCTCAATTGAGTACAATCACCAAAACGATCACCACTTCGACCGACAGCACCAGCACTCGGACTAAAGTCTATACATTGGTTTACAACGCGTTGAGCACCCGATACCGGACAGTGACCAGCACTTCGCAATAGGGGTGACAATAGTGTTGACAGTAGTGTAGTTGCCAAAGGTTAGTTCACCGTTTGTGACGGGTTGGGAAGTTAAAGAAACCTATTTAGCAGAGTTTCTGCAGATAAAATATTGTAAATGGCACTTTTTTGTATAAATTTTTAAAATATTGTTTTTTAATCATTTTTGCAGTTATTTTTGATTTATGTTATCATTGATTAGGAACTGGTTGTTCAGCCATCCGTCCAATCGATTGAAACTATAATTTTTATAGTTTTTACGTGAATTGTTATGTTTTATTGAATTCATAGCAATTCAAAATATTTGCCATTTTTTGTAAGTTGTTTTTCAGATATATTTTTTATTTAATACTTTATTTTACTTATTGTTTTGATTTAAAAATTGATATTTTCTTATATAATCAAAAAATATATTGTTTTTTCAAAGGTTATGAACTCATTACAGAAATTTCATAAAATTTGAAAATAATTTTAACTTTCTTTTATATTTTGTTAATTTGTTTTGACTCTTAAATCAATGCCTTTTTGACGACAGATCTGTGACTTGAGAGCAGTAAAAAACAAATATTTTAAGAGCAAATAAAAGAATAATGGTCTTTAATTAGATATCTACTCTAAATTAAATTACTTAAGTATACTTATAACATAAGAGACTCAACACTATTAATAATATGAATACATATCTTTACGAACCATTATGTTATGCAATGATATACTATTGTGTGTATTGTTTTATCGGATAACTTACGTAAGAATTTCTATTGTATGACATGTTTTGTTATTTAAATTGTATATTTTATTAATGAATTTGTTTTTGTTTTGTAAATTAAAAAAACCTTTTTAAAACAAATTGATTGTCATTTAAATTCAGCAAAAGTAATGTATCATTAATGACAAGTACAGCGCATACAATATATCATGTAAAGTCTTTTATCATTATATAATCATTTTAATGAAAGACTTTATTACAAATCTTTTAATCCGTATTAAATTAGTTGGAGTTTTAAAAGTTTAAACTTTTCAAAATATAAATGTATAGAAAAATAATCGAAAAAATATTGAGCATTAAATTAAAACACTTGAGATATTTAAACTCTAGGCTTGACTTAAAATCTCGACAACTTTGGGATAGACATAGAGTCCGGCGTCCAAACCAAATATGTAGTCCGTGTGACACCACTTCTTATACGGAACCATATATTCCGATAATAATGGCACTAATAATGAGAGGGAAAACATTTTTTTATAAAGTAATTCATCTTTTAATTCTCATTTTAATAGTGTTTTTTGGAAACTCAACAACAAATTCAACTTAGTGTAGCAGCTACAGGCGGTTGGTTAGCAACCGGCTTATTTAGTTACGTTAAAACCAACTTCACTAGCGAAGGTCGGATAACTCTGGTGGTGTCTTTTGGCCATAGATTATCTGATTATCAGTCCTCCCAAAATCAAATTTGCTAAATGTTTTACTTTTGATTAATTGGGCAAAATGTGCGATATTCCAGCTCGAAGTGCCAGAAGGGGTGTGTGTGAAGTATACACCCAATCGTGTCTATTAAACAAATAGATTTTAATTTACTATATAATTAATGCTAATATTATGCTTTAATTTTCTTATTATGTAATTATGCAAAAGTGTTGATAGTTTCACACTTTGATACATGAGATAAATACCATATTAAGCTGATCACGATCATAGCCGGAGAATAAGTATAATAAGTTTGCGCAAATAAATTTCACTTCATTGTCGCAAAACTCTTCCGCCAAATGTGTCATTAATTTATCCGACGGTAAGAATTCGCCCCCAATAAACCTAAATCGAACATGTTAATTATATTTTGCATATTCTCTCTCTCTCTCTCTCAGGGAACTGGTAATCAAATGCTACATTTTTTTTTGTAAAAATTGCTAATTTAGAAATACATATTTTATTATAGCCATAATGTTTGCTTGCATTGATTTATTCGGCCAACGATTGGTTGGCGGACATCGACGATGTGATTCAACTTAAATTCAGCAAAAGTAATGTATCATTAATGACAAGTACAGCGCATACAATATATCATTAAAGTCTTTTATCATTATATAATCATTTTAATGAAAGACTTTATTACAAATCTTTTAATCCGTATTAAATTAGTTGGGGTTTTAAAAGTTTAAACTTTTCAAAATATAAATGTATAGAAAAATAATCGAAAAAATATTGAGCATTAAATTAAAACACTTGAGATTTTTAAACCCTAGGCTTGACTTAAAATCTCTACAACTTTGGGATAGACATAGAGTCCGGCGTCCAAACCAAATATGTAGTCCGTGTGACACCACTTCTTATACGGAACCATATATTCCGATAATAATGGCACTAATAATGAGAGGGAAAACATTGTCTATAAAGTAATTCATCTTTTAATAGAGTAAAATTATCACAAAAAACCTTTGAGTTGTTGTTTAAGTTGAATCACATCGTCGATGTCCGCCAACCAATCGTTGGCCGAATAAATCAATGCAATTTTGGTTGAAGTGATCGCTTCCAGCCTATACTCTGGTGGTGTCTTTTGGCCATAGATTATCTGGTTATCAGTCCTCCCAAAATCAAATTTGCTAAATGTTTTACTTTTGACTAATTGAGCAAAATGTGCGATATTCCAGCTCGAAGTGCCAGAAGGGGTGTGTGTGAAGTATACACCCAATCGTGTCTATTAAACAAATACTTTTTAATTTATTATATAATTAATGCTAATATTATGCTTTAATTTTCTTGATATGTAATTATGCAAAAATGTTGATAGTTTTACACTTCAATATATGAGATAAATACCATATTAAGTTGATCACGATCATACCCGGAGAATAAGTATAATAAGTTGGCGCAAATAAATTTCACTTCATTGTCGCAAAACTCTTCCGCCAAATGTGTCATTAATTTATCCGACGGTAAGAATTCGCCCCCAATAAACCTAAATTGAACATGTTGATTATATTTTGCATATTCTCTCTCTCTCTCTCTCTCTCTCTCAGGGAACTGGTAATCAAATGCTACATTTTTTTGTAAAAAAATTGCTATATAATTTAGGGTTTGTTTTGTCACAACTTGGTTACGATGTCTCTCTCTCTCTCTCTCCGCATCAGTACAAACCTGAGAGCACTACTGAATTCAGTAAAGTATCGGATCGGAGATTTAATACCAGCGACATAAGCGATTGGTGCTAACGCTATGAATGGGTTAATGATCTGAGAATATTCTGGCTTTGATGACAACAATGCAAACATTATGGCTATAATAAAATATGTATTTCTAAATTAGCAATTTTTACAAAAAAAAATGTAGCATTTGATTACCAGTTCCCTGAGAGTGACCGATATATCCAATGGAACCTAAATAAGACATTATAAGGAAATATGATGTCAACAATTGATGCCTTACTTTGATTTGTGGTTTTAAGTATGTATTGAATAATAGCCGGCAAATCATATGCAGACATCTCGTCAAATGTAAATCTCCAAAACTTTTTCTCTTGAAATGATATCAAATTTGCATATTTTAGTCAAATATTTAAAGAGGTAATTCAAGTGTTAAATATAGTTCACCCCCTGTTTTAAGTTGTGTGTGATTTGTTGAGTAAATATTTCCCCTAGAGTTTGAGAGCCAGACATCGTAACCAAGTTGTGACAAAACAAACCCTAAATTATTACCAACTCTTCCCTCATTATCCGTCAATTTATCGGTGGATGCGTTCAGAAACGGAGAATTTATGAGCCAATCGGTGGACGAACCCAAGAGGCCGTGTTGTAGGAGAACTGGTTTCAGGGTTTTATTAAATTGAGACAATTCCGGGTTAATTATTCTGTGAATCCCTAATATATATCCATCTTTTGTAATCACATAATGTGTCTCCGCTTTAAAGCCGCGGGAAGTGATTATCTCAACCTTTTTTTAGGACATTAATAAATCATATCAATAAAATATTTATAGCATTTCTTGTTTTTAATGGATATTTTAAAAATATGTTTTATAGTGTATATAAGATATACAGTATATTTTAGTTTTTCAATCAATATAGTATTTATTTAATAATTAATTGCAATTAAATAAATATTCATTGATTAAATTCAAACAAATAAAAACATTGATTGAATACCGCATCGCGTTCTTCATCTGGATCTATGGGGGCGTCGGAACAGTTGAGGTGATGAAAGGTAGCGCATAACGATTGACTGATTAAAGCAAATAACAAAACATATAAAACAAGAAAATTACGCATTTTTGCTGTCAATAGGCTATTATTTATTGTCATTTCGTATATAAAACTCGTTTCAAAATCCCATTTATCGCAAAGAATATCGACTGAAGGCTACAGTCGTTAGTCATGATTGATATGAAAGTCAGGAATTGATATATTTGTCAATCATTTACAGTAAAACTATATAATTAATTAAAAGAAATGTCTTTATTTAGTGAACAAACCCTCAAATTATGGGAATAACTAAACATATGAATCATTATATTCTCTCAATTCTTAACACATTGTTATAACAGACGCCTTGAGATTGTGAACAAAATTCTTGATCTCAATTGTTGTTCATATACTGAACGAAACGTGTATTTTAAACAAAGATTAATTTCATTTCACATGATATACTGTATTGTAAACAAATTTCTATATCGCAAGCCATAGACTTTGATAATATAGAGATAAAAACAATAATTTGATTAATCAGTCGCTTAATCGACAAAACATAACTAAACAGTACTTTCAGTCCTTTGACTGCAATATTATTATCCAAACTAGTATTCAATGAGAATAATAGCTGAGAACTAATGCTATTATAAAGACAATCAAAATATTTATCGCATTAATCAGTATTATATTAAAATTGTTTTTAATTCAATGATTTGTATATTATATTACTCTTTAGACTAAATTTTTAAGATTTAAAAAAGAAAATTATTCTAAACTCAAGTACTTTTGGGTTTTAAATCATAGCCTCAATCATGAATTAATTACTGATACAGTATTTTTCAAATATTGAAAAACAGTTTTTTCTGCATATTTTCATTGAATGAATTTCATTGTTTGCTTTCTTTATGACACAATTTTTATGACCACAAAAATATTTCCTATAATTGATTAAACAAATCATAAAAACATGTTTTTTGCTATATTAACAAAAAGAAATTCTTTTCGTTATTATATAAAGTAATCAATAAATTATTGGGAAAATACAGTGAAATGTGAATTTCATAAGTATTTCGGTTAATAATATAGTTTTTCAATGAATACATAAACTAATGGTTCGTTTCGAAGAACCAGTTTTAAGGAGACAATTGATTTGAGGGACAAATGACTTAATGATATGTAATTGTCTTCCTATTCCTAGATATACACTAAACATAGCACTCAATCACAAGGAAGTGCTATAATGTCTTTGTCTGTATTCGCTTTAATACAATTGAGTGCTAAGTTTGGGTCGACCTCACCATCCAATCGATATCAACCGGTCTATAGTTATTTGAATGTGACGTCAATTCACGATTGCATCAATGCATGCAATCGTTGCCACTTTTAGGCTCATATACACAGCACTACACAATGTATTGTATAATAGCTTGAGATCACACTATTCTGTGAATATATCGTAAAATTCATTCACAATTCTAGAGAGACTGAGAGTGCGAGCGATTCACATGTAAATACTTTCATCAGTCGATATTAGTTTGAGACACACTCTGGAAACAGACTCTCATTGCTATACAGAGTGTGTAGTCGACTAAACATATATGTAATATAATCGGTGCATACAATGACTAGTATTACATATTGTATTGTTTTAGATTTAGTGCTAACTCTATGTTTGATTCACACAATTGTATGCTTGGACTCAAGCGATAAGAATACTGTTATAAACCGGTCAGAGGAGTGTCAGAGAATCGGACTCTGGAAATGCGGCCATCGATTTATTAGAGCCCATAAATTCATTGATATTATCGTAAATGAGGAATCTTTTGAATCCAAATGCATCCTCAGATCTGTAAGTATTGGGATATTTAATAATCTTAATGAAGAACACAGTAATCAATGTTCAAAATAATATATAAAACTTATAGAATTTAGTTTATGTTATATATTCATTCATTTTAGTCCAGACGACAAAATTACGTTATAATTTGAAAATCTAATAATAATTTGCGAATATTTAGGCATTTTTCAAATGTATTGAGAAGTGGGCGAAGAGAGATGACTGTCAAAAGTATGCAAACCATATGACAGAACACTCGATGAAGTTTCGTAAACGTCTGACCGACACATTGTGGTCGACCAGAGGGTGTCTGACAGGAGTTCCCAAATGATTGTTTCGCTGTTTTAGAATTATGTCTTGTAATGATTGCTTGGAAGCAATGGCCAAACCTGACAATCCATCACATTTAGTGCCAAATTTTGTATGAATCAAATCATGATGAAAGTTGTCATGAATACAAAGTAATGAAATCTCATTTCATCACAAAGTATAACATACCGAATGTTACATACATTAAGTCACATTAAATGCATTTCTAGATAACAAATAGGATATTAATTATATGTTACTAATTATAAAGTGATTAATTTGTATTTTATTTATATTTTATATTTATGTTTATAGTTATATATTTTTATATAAAAAGTTTATATATTTTGTTTTCTAATTAATTATAATATATTTTAAAAATAGTAAAATAACAACAAATTATAACAATTGTTTGACGTTAAAAACAAATTAATGCTGTATATGTGTAATATTGATAATAAAGCTCTAAACAAATCTAAATTTGTATTAAATCATTGGAAATTTTAAGTTAGCATTCATTTAATAGTTGTAAACATCGTTTTCATGCAATTCTTATTAAATAAACAAACATTTGAACATTATTTCCAATTATAGTGTAATAAAATAGGAGTAATTTGTATATAAAAAGTCTTAACGTTCAGACAAATACATAAAATAAAGCAATTCGTGCTCTTTTTGGCCAAAATTGGACACAAAATTAATTTTAAAGATTGATTCAAAGCCTTCGGTATTCATTGGTTTAACGAAATTCTTGTTTAGAGGAGTGTCAGAGAATCGGACTCTGGAAATGCGGCCATCGATTTATTAGAGCCCATAAATTCATTGATATTATCGTAAATGAGGAATCTTTTGAATCCAAATGCATCCTCAGATCTGTAAGTATTGGGATATTTAATAATCTTAATGAAGAACACAGTAATCAATGTTCAAAATAATATATAAAGTTATAGAATTTAGTTTATGTTATATATTCATTCATTTTAGTCCAGACGACAAAATTACGTTATAATTTAAAAATCTAATAATAATTTGCAAATATTTAGGCATTTTTCAAATGTATTGAGAAGTGGACGAAGAGAGATGACTGTCAGAAGTATGCAAACCATATGACAGAACACTCGATGAAGTTTCGTAAACGTCTGACCGACACATTGTGGTCGACCAGAGGGTGTCTGACAGGAGTTCCCAAATGAGTTGTTTCGCTGTTTTATAATTATGTCTCGTAATGATTGCTTGGAAGCAATGGCCAAACCTGACAATCCATCACATTTAGTGCCAAATTTTGTATGAATCAAATCATGATGAAAGTTGTCATGAGGACAAAGTAATGAAATCTCATTTCATCACAAAGTATAACACACCGAATGTTACATACATTAAGTCACATTAAATGCATTTCTAGATAACAAATAGGATATTAATTATGTTATAAAAGTGATTAATTTGTATTTTATTTATATTTATGTTTATAGTTATATATTTTTATATAAAAAGTTTATATATTTTGTTTTTTAATTAACTATAAATTATAATTTATAATATATTTGAAAAATAGTAAAATAACAACAAATAATAACAATTGTTTGACGTTAAAAACAAATTAATGCTGTATATGTGTAATATTGATAATAAAGCTCTAAACAAACCTAAATTTGTATTAAATCATTGGAAATTTTAAGTTAGCATTCATTTAATAGTTGTAAACATCGTTTTCATGCAATTCTGATTAAATAAACAAACATTTGAACATTATTTCCAATTATAGTGTAATAAAATAGGAGTAATTTGTATATAAAAAGCCTTAACGTTCAGACAAATACATAAAATAAAGCAATTCGTGCTCTTTTTGGCCAAAATTGGACACAAAATTAATTTTAAAGATTGATTCAAAGCCTTCGGTATTCATTGGTTTAACGAAATTCTTGTTTCTTAACGTTCAGACAAATACATAAAATAAAGCAATTCGTGCTCTTTTTGGCCAAAATTGGACACAAAATTAATTTTAAAGATTGATTCAAAGCCTTCGGTATTCATTGGTTTAACGAAATTCTTGTTCTGCGAGCGAATCACAAGATCAGTGACCGGACTGTTAACGCCTATAATTCGCCGAAATTTATTGTTATGTAATGATTGGTCGACTGTTATGTCGAAGAAAAAGAGCAGCGGAACCGCTGAATACTTCTGAGACAACGACAACCACTGTTTTCGAGCCGACACATCCACATTGAGGTTATCGATCACAACGTTTTGATTGCTTCTTAGACTCAATTCGCACTTCTTTTGGCACTTTTCCATAGTCTTGAGCTCATCTCTCGACACATAAACGTAACCCAATTGTTGCAAATAATTCCTATAAAACGATGTCTTCCCCGAAGCGGGTAAACCACACAATACTATTAAATGCAGTTTTGAGCCATAGTTTGCCAGCAAATCGTTGATATTTGCGTAGCGTTTGTCTGAACTCAATTGAGTGGCTATGAAAGTCGAGTCCAGCTTTTGTGGCCGATATGTGGAGATCTCAAAACCGCAATAACTTTTGTCGCTTGAGTTACTTGTCTTTGGTTTCATATCACTTAAGAAGCGTTCGGGCGTTAAGAATGGGATACGAGAATTGGCGGCAAACAGCAGATCCACTGAACTGTGGTCTGATTTGCCGTTTAATTGCTTCTTACGTCCGGCGGCGTCGCCCACATAGAAACTGGTCTTCAAGTCAAGCGGCTTATCACTGAACTCGTCGGCCAATAATTGCCACAAACCGGGCCGAGGCTTGCGGTAGATGTCGTCAAACGCTGCAATCATCACAAGACAGGGCACTCCTATGGCTGTAAGCGCCGACTCGAACCGGTGCTGAATGTCCTCCAATTTGAACCTTCCCTGAGATATCGGCAACTGATTAGATATAACCACAAAACGAAAGCCATTTTCTATCAGTTTTTCAATCTTTTGCGGCAATAATTTGTCAATTAGTTTCCAGTCGTCGGAACTGATGGCAAATTTACCGCCAGATTTAGGCGTAACTATTGTTTCATCGAAATCAAAGGCGGCGATCGATGGACTGCTTTTTCCTCCGCCCAAGAATTTGCAGATATGGACCCGATTTGAACAAATTGCCAGCCATTCGGTCACTCCCGACGATTTGCTATCATCTATAGTTTGGTCGCAATTCACTGTTAATTACACAACAAATCAATTAACAAAATGTTAACAATTATCTCCAAAAAAAAACTGCTCATTACTTGTGGTCTCATCAATGGGTTCTTCAAACGATAACTGCATTTCATTATCACTCAATTGGTGTCCATTAGTATCACAAACTAATCCGTCGTTTTCATCACCCGTTTGGTCAACGATAACCACTTTATAGCGAAACCCATTGCCGGTCACCGACTGTCCATTCAATGGGTGTGTTATTTGCCGTGTTTTGCAGTCTTCGACCGAAACAGTGTTGCCATCAAAAGTGACGGAACAGTCACTTCGGGAACACTTCAGGTCTCGTATACGACACGTGCGGTTGCGGCCAATCGTCAGACAATCGCCGACTCTAACGGTCTGATGAGGAATGCCCTCAACGCCACTCATCAGACGACATATCTTCGGCATAGCGTCCGTCCAATTGGTTCCGTTCCGAGCGGTGTCTTCGCCAGTGGATGGATGTGTGGACTCGAGAGATGTTTCACTGATTTATATAACAATTTGTAATTCAATTATTGATAACTTTTGATGCAATCATTGCCACCAAAAAGAGTCACGTGTTTTGCTATACTTTTTGCAGCGCTTTCTGTCAATACATGTATGTATTGAGCGCTCAATTCAAACCTCCACTTAATCTTTGCTTATCTCAAGACAACACATCCGGAGACCATTTCTTACCATATCATCACTTTTGCCATTTTATAGACTGATTTGCATTTTGTATCATCTTTAGCATCAAATGTATGGCCAATAATAACTGTCTATTGTATTAATATATCAATTGTAGTGAATATACGGCTATATTGTGCTATAATTATAATGGCTTTAATTGATTGTGATTTAAATTAGAAATATTTGATCATTGAATTGTATTTAAATGATTATTGTAACCATTATTACAGTAGTTTTGTCACATAAAACACGTGTTTCAAAATGTTTCTAAACAGACAACTGTGAGCATCGATTCAATGCCTGGTATTAACAAAAGCCCTCAATTCACGCATATTTGTGAATAATGTATGGATTGAAACATTAATTGGACCTTAAGTTTCAAACACTGCCAATAAATCACATATTTGTACATTATATGCACATTGTATGCATGTTTGCAAACAAACTTACATGAATGCAATTTATAAATCATAATTAAATGCTCCTAATAAATGACCTGTTATTGTAAAGTCTGTGGAAATTGTATAAACTTATAGTGAATTCACTTTAAACATAGGCTTTAATACTGCAGTGAATATTGTGTGTGAATCACATGTTTGTGAGACATAAACGCCAATCAATTCATAACTCAATTATAAGACATAATTGTCTCAACTATTGTGTCTCAAGTCATACCTTTAGTGTACCCCAGAGTTCACTATAACGAGTGTTTGGACACACTTTCACTTATATCACGATTCAATTACAGTTAAACCAAAACATTATGTTTTTGTTATTAAGAAAATTGATATTTTATACACTAATTATGTTGTGTTCAATAATTCATTACTTGTTGTCAACCATTTGTGGCCATTTCTATGACAATATCGTCGATATCGCCGTCAAAGTCATCAAACTATCAACACATGAAATATGTACTGAAAATGTCTTAAATGACACAATCAGTCGTTTAGATAAATCTGAAGAAACTTTCAATGAATTACAAAAACAAATGATTAGTTTCCGCAAAGAATTGCAAGAATTACAAGAATCTCAGCACAAATTGGCCACTGATTGGTCGACAATAGCACAGACGGGCAGTTCATGTGTTCCCAAGCCATGCACACAGTCTTCATCAATGGCGGCGCCAATCGGTGTCAATATCTCGAGGACTGGTGTCGAAGATATGGCCCAACAAAGCGATTCCAAACACTCGTCTCAGATCTTATGGCGCTTTTCATCGCTACTCTCCGGTCACTCTTCGAGCTCTGAGTCGAACCGAACACCAATGGATCAAATGGACGGCTCGACAACACATTGTCACTGCAATTGTCCCATACATAAGAAGTACCACTAATTATGTTATCGGCGATAAATATTTCTAACGATTAGTTTTATAACAAGTTTTAATACAAAGTTTTTATATACCTATGGATGCGATTGAATAGTATTTCATTCAGTGGTTAACTCATTACTACTTATGTTTTAATTGTGATAACAATAATTGTTTCCTTTAAACGCTTTGTTTTATATTACAATAAGGTATTAATACTTTTTTAATAAATAAAATTAAATTAATAATAAGAGAATAATAAAATAAATTATTAAAATTACTATTTCTAAACACTTAATGTTAATTCATTATAAATGGCAAAAATGTGGACTTTATTTAAATTCAAAACTATTTGAATACAAGAATATTTTTGTTTGCAATCATTGATACACTGAATACTGTATATATAGGTAAAAATGTTTCTCAAATTGTTTCGCACAAAACAAACAAAGTGTTAGATTAAAAAGAGAAAAATTAAAAAATAAATGAAAAATTTGTTTCTCAAATGATATATAAATAGAGTTTTACATTTGAATTACACGTTTTGTAATCCTCTAATACAAGCAAAAAATGCATAAAACACTCAAAACATTTAATAGCTGTTTAGGTGTGGTTTCGACTCCTGTCTCATAGCGAAGAACAAACACATCGTGAAGATTATGGATCCGACCTCAACCAGAATCAGCGCCACACAAATGCCACCAATCGCTCCGCCCCTCACCTCCAAGAATCGACGCAACATTTCGCCGCAACTCTAATTCAACCATTGGTTAGTTTCAGAGATATATTAATTACAATTTAATTTGATCATGGTAATAGTTAAGTAAATTTGATGCCAACCCGTATCTGAATGTTGTTCGTGCGCTCACTATTACAAGAGGCGGGTATATCCTGTTGAACCTTCTCGTAGTCGAGGAATGTTTCCGCTCCGCAACAGTCCAGCTGTCAATGTGTTGATGATATTGTCATTAGAATCGATGGTAAGTTTGCTATCGGTGTGAATACTAACCTTCAATTGGATGAGGTCTAAGAAACGACGGGAACGGTCATCAGTGGGTCTGTGATCGATATGCCATTTGATATCTCGTGATAACACGCTTTGCAGCTTTAAGACAATAAGAGATTCATTATAAGTATAGTTGGTATATGAAATCAATGTAATTAGTTTTCAATACTCGGTCTCCGCCGGCGATCTTCCAGACGAGGACAGTGGCCGCGATTTGAAGGACGACCACAATTCCAGTCAAAATAAAGTACTGAATAAACAATTAGAAATATTAGTTGTGTTCAACACGTTATGTAATTGAATACTAACGGCCAGTAACATACAGGGGCTCTCCATAGCGGCCCCGAGACAACCCAGGAATCCGATGATCAATATGAGAGCGCCCGCAGTCATGCATATATAACACGCGAAATAATATCTTTCAATATCCAAATTGTCGGTATATTCCCAAAGACCTCCATCTCCTCGAACCCAAATGGCAATCCCTAACAGAATGGCTCCCAATGTCTATTTCAATACCAATTTCACAATAGAAAAGCAAAAAATATTTTTAATATTTTCAATATTTGATCTAAATTTTTAGAAATTTTAAATGAATTGACAATTTATGACAAGAAATAAACTTTTTCGCAGATATTTTCGGCAAAATGTGCGAAAAATATCTAAATTGAGGGCAAGTCGTGCCACACCTTTGTTTGTCGCACATAAATATAATTGAATTAAATTCTCACCCAAACAATGAAATTGATGGCAAAGAGAAGATATTTAATACAAGCGACCGCTGGATCTATTGTCGTCATTGTCTTAATGACATTCACGTCTCATAACAATTATATAAAAACAAATGTAGTTTTAAATTAACAGAACTTATGCTTTAATTAAATGGACGAAAGTA